AAGTAGCAAAATGAATTTCTCTTTTTTGAGAAAAAATAGCAAAATGAAGTTTTGACATAGGTAGATCATTATTTTATATTTAAAACAAGGAGATGGCAGCCACATCTCAATGAAAGAGTATTTTATATTTAAAACAAGGAGATGGCAGCCAGATACCAGCCTCAGAAAATGGAAGAGTATTTTTGGACAAGCCAACTCATAATTCACTCATTATTTGTCATTCTAGTATAACAAACTAAATTCTAATAGTTCAAAATCTTCATGGAACCCTAAGAGCACAGTCAACTCCTCCAAGAATGGAGGCTACAGTAGCGTGAAAAGCATGTACTACTCTTTCCAAATGGTGCAAGGTATGGAAGGAACTCATACTATTATGTAGACAACAGTTCATTGCACTGCACATGTTTTCTTACTTCTTAAAAATATTTTTTATTTTAAACTAAAAATCATTTAGAAAATTAGAAGGGACTCAATTTGGTAAGCCCATAAACAGTTCAAAATCAGCTAATCACTGCATCAGGTCACCTTAAAAAAGATTAGCTTGACAGTTTTCTTGGTTCAGCTCGGCTTTGATGTCTTGACTCAGATTGAGAACTTTCACTTGCAGCAACTAGCACAAGCAGCTACCACATGACTTTATAGTGAGCAATGTTGAATAGGCTCTTAAGCACAAAAGGTTTCAGAACCAAGGAACAAAGGTTGATAATGGCTTTGCATGGCAAATGCAAGAAATTGATGGATCAGTAAGAGCAGAACCCATTAGAAGTAAGGCAGCACATCTGGTAGCTTTTAGGTAGTCTAAAGTAACAAATCTGCAGTGTGCAAAACCATTGTCCTCTGTGCTTGGTGGTGTGTGGTGACAGCTCAACACAAGAATGTTGAACGGGGAAACAACATAGACTAGTAATTGTAATTTTCATTTGTCCAATCTCATAACAAATTGTTTTAGGCAGTGAAGGGACTGGGTAAAAAATTATGCACCGACTCTAACAGATATATGACAAGTAGGGTTTAGAACTAGATAGAACAGGTAAGCAAGAAAGACCTGAAAAAAAGATTTAAGGTAAAAGAATCTCGGAAGAAATAGATGGAACCTGTAAGCTAGAAAGAACAAGAACTAAAGTAAAGAGTACAAAGAAGATAAATTCGGAATAAAAGCTAGCAAATAATTCACATGCAGTCTTACCTACTATGCCGAGATTATTATTATTATTTAACTAAAAAGCAAATAAAAAGTTTATAAATATTGATCAAATTCCAAAGTGCTAAAACTAATTACTAGTTTTTAATAGCCTAAACAATATAAAATTACTTAAATTCATGGTAATTACAATAATATTGTCCACCACGAAAATGTGTGTTAGAACTTCTCTTTTCTGAGCCAAAAACTAATTCAAAGAGGAAGCTTAAAGAAATGACAACAGAAATCTAATCTACCCCAGAAATTTTCATATGAACGAAAAAAGAGGATATGAAACTACCAATGTGGTTATTTTACATCATCTTTATCACTCCCCTACAATAGAATATTTGGTTTAAACCAAAACTACTGCCCTTTGTCCGAGTCCATGACCAAATCTTCATGAATGTATTTAGATCCTCGAAGTTCTTCAAACAGGATTTGGTTTTAAGGTAAGAACCATCCAAAAATCTCAAATAAAACCTTCTAAGTTAGTATTTCAGTTACCAATCCTAGTACTCAATACTTGCAATATAATCCACAGACTACTGTCTCCATGGCATTTTCCCTAGAAACTAACAAATAAAATCCCAATCTTTTACGATGCTCCTGTATCATTCTATCGAGCTTGAGAGAACATATATTTTTGAGAAAAAAATTAGTATATTTTATATAAGCACCAAGCACCCGTAAACAAAGCTTTACAAATCTGTCAAAATATCTATCAAATCTTCATGAGAAATATGTCCTCAAGTTTTCCTTTGCTGGAATTAATTGAAATACCAAATAATTTGTTACTATTTGTTTTTCCAGTCTGCTTCATAGAGACTAAAATATCATTAAGTTGGATATGCAGAACACTAGTGAACTGACTATTTAAGAAGCTTCAAGTATGAGCAACATAAGCACTCAGGCTTTGCTTGTTTGTCTGAACTTTTAGCTTTATTTTATCTACCATAAATTCTTTACACACATAATCATGTTTTGCATCCTCTACAGTAGAAGCTACTATTTATTTTTCCATGCCTATACAAACAGTACCAAGTAATTGTAACAGTGTTCATCCGCATTAGCATGATTATATTATTGAACGAATTTTCAGAATTCAGAGTTCGTTTAGAGATCCAAGATATTTTTTCTGTTCTTGGTCAATTTCTCCCGATCTTCCAAGCTCTCCCACTCCTACATCAATACTTCTTTTGTTCTAAAAATAAAATTGTTTTCTTTGTAGAACAGAAAGTAGAAATGACACCTCTGTTCATTTTAGAAACAGAAAATTCAAATAGAAGATATTTTTTGGCTCCGAAACACAATCCTAATTGGTGGATAGCCACTGTGGGATTCTTTCATCAATCAAAAGTAGGGTCCATATTATAAGTTATGCACTCAATTATGGAAAATAACAAAGAAAATTCCACAATTGACTCCCTCCAATCTGCCTCCAGGTCAGGAAGGCTAATAATCCTACATGTTGGAGAGAATTAGGTCCAGGTTGATGCAAACTGCAATTGCTCCACAAATAAACAAAATGTTCGCTTTTGAGTAAAAAATGATAATAATAACAATGATAACAATGTTGTAAATGGGCAATGCCCCCTTAGTACCTACATCAATACATCTCATACTTTTATTTTCAAAAAAATAACAATGATAACAATAACAATGTTCTTTACTCGCTGACAGAAATAATATAAAAAATCTTTTAACAGCTTTAGGGGCATTACCTTAGAAACATAAAAACACTGAACATTAGATTTTAGCATTCTCGGGATGCTCTTTCTGTAATTTTTCAAAATTCAATGCTTAATGCTTTTGTCACTCGGGTTCATTGGAAAGGATATCTGTATCTCCTGAACTTATCGTCTATTCCAGGAATATAATTTTGGCCATATGATCTTGAACTGTGTCAAGATGGTTTGTCAAGAAGTACAAATGATTTTTTAATGTTGCATCAAAGAAGAAAGATCAGAAAAAACTGACAATTGAGATAGGAAATAAGTTAATTGCAAGCAATATCATGTGCAGGCCCTAAGGGGACGTGGGGACTATGAGCTTGTATAGAGCAAAAATTAGGAGATGTTTATATAGTAGAAATGGAAGAAAAAGGCATGAATAAGAGAAGAATACCTGTAAAGCATCTTGCTGGGGTGAGGAGGATAAAACTGTTGAAAGAAGCTCAATGCTGTTCCTCGCCACATCAAATGCTTCCTTTATTTGTTCAGCTGTAAATATTGGGACTGAAACATCATGCTGCTGTATCCTCTGTGCAAGATTACCATCCATTTCAGGTGCTGAAGCCGAACGTGGAGGGGTGAAAATTGGCACCAAACTCTCATTGTCACGACCAGGAAAGCGGATACCCCTTGATTTCAAGCTCTGGATTTAATCAAACAAGAAAGAAATGTTCAAAATTTATATCCACCTAACTGTCTGCATTAGAACTGATACCATATACCAAGCAAATATTGCTTAAGGTTCTGTTTCTACCATTTCCAAGACAGGACCACCAACAACTAAAACATCAAACATAAAGTTTATTTACATTGATATGTATGTTTTGCTCATATTGCTTGATTTCAGAACATAAAGAGGTTAGCCAAAAAGTTAACAATCTGTAAAATATATTATGCCACTTGAAGAAAATGGATGACTAAAAAAAAAAAAAAAAGAAAAAGAAGAGGAAAGAGGGAGAGTGAGAGAGAGAGGACTGGCTCAATAATATATGATAAGTCCAAGCAAAGCAGACTAGAGCCTCAATTAACGAACCACCAGAAAGGAATCAAGCTCAAATTTTGAGGCACTGTTCATCCAATGAAATTAATGTCCTGCACCTCATTTTGGAGAACCAAAACAAAGAATATATTATGGCTAAGAAGCAGGATGGATACCTTGTATGTTTCCTCATAGACAGGCAAATAACGAAGTTCATTGGTTGACTCCCCCCATGACTCAATCAGCATCAGAGCTTTGTTCCGATTATTAACAACACTCTGAGGATCATCAATGAGCTTCACCATTTCATCTAGAACCCTTTGAGCAGCCACCTCCGAGAAGGCCTTCTCACAATTCTTGACACATGTTTCAAGCAGCATCATTGCCAAAAACTGAACCCTAGGATGCTTCATCATGATTCTCTTCTTTATTCCACGGATTAATTCAACACTATTAACTTTCTCATGATTGATCATATCACAGATCTCCAAATTCATGGCCCAGTCAGGCTCCTCTAGGAACTCAGAAGTGGCATCCTCAACAAGCTTATCACATGCGTTTGGGCCTTGGAAAAGCTCCTTAACCTTGAAGCTCATTGAGGTCATGCCTGCACTCATCTTCCTGCCAACCTCAGCCCCTCCAATCTTCAGACGTTCACCAAAAGCACTGACTTTCTCCATCAAATTGTCACTCATTGTTGCAAAACTTCAAAACTCTAAAACCAAAATTATTAATGTGATTTCCCACAAAGTAAAACGTAAAACCCATAAAACACGAGAAATCTATACTATGACTGCTAGTTGAGAACGATGATCAAGACAATATGAACATTGTTTCCTGCCATTTTCACAAAAACACACCAAAAACCAAGTGGAAAGAGTAGAGAAGAAGGACCTATAAGAAGTCAACTGTGTCCTTATTACACTTAAGTTAGACCTTACTTCAGTTTCCAAAACTAAATAAAAACTTATAGGATCACAGCCTTCTAATTTGTGATATTAATTTTCTTGTTTCCCATAAAATACAAAAGAAAAAAAGAAAAACAAAAACCTCATAATCACATAAATCCCATTGAACAAAAATTACCAAAAGACTTTATTTGATATAGGAAACCTCATTTTGACTTCTATTAACTCCATATACAAATTATCATGAGGTTGACAAAAGTGCACGCCTTCAAACATTTGAAAACCCTAATACTGAAATCTCCAACAAAACCACCGTGATCTGTCTGATTTTCAGGAAAAGAAAGAATTACTTCATTTAACCATGCAATTCACAATTTTTTTTTAGTTTGCATAAGCTGTTGTACGCTAGAGAGCAACAACCTACAATAAACTTAAATTGACACGACACCCTGTGTCTCAAACTTCTCAGAGAACAAACAGAAAACAAACAGAAATCCACAAGGACCCAATTTTAGAAAACAAGAATTAGAAACGAGAGCTTGGTTATAAATTCTCAAGACCATTAAAACTCACAATTTAAACACATCAAAAATCGACATCGTCTTTGATTAACGAGAAATCTTAACAGCAATCAAATCATATAAAAATCATAACCCGTTAGCCCCAACTAAAATCGATATCTCAAGTTCCAAATTTCCGCCCTAGCTCTCAAATTCAACCCAACAAATTAAGGACGGTAAAGTGATCAGATCAAAGAATCAAAGCATGTCACAGTCAAAAAGTGGTAATAACTAAAACATTTTTTTCGTCCTTGCTCCTGTGGTTGACAGAAAAGAGAAGAAGAACAGGAGTTTACCTTCGGGACTGGCGAGTTCTTGAGCCGACAAGGCGCGATTGACTCAGGCGCTCAGCTAAATTTGTTTATAGCTTCCTTGAAATTTCAGTCTCTCTCTCTCTCTCTCTCTCTCTCTCTCTCTCTCTTATAGGTAGAGGCCGGATGAAATTCTTTTCATTTTTCGTAATTTGTGAAATAAATAATAATAATTTTATGGAATAGTATCTGAAGTTTGGTCTTTTCAATACGCGGTATAATGTGAAGTTGATACCACGGAACGACACCGCATCATTGTCCGTGGAACTTTCCTGCAATTTTTAAAAAAGAAAAATGTTTACTTTTCTCCACTAATCGTTTATTTTAGATATTATACATCTCTTATAATTAACGTAAAAATTTTATACTTTAAACTTAATAAATTATTATGTTCATAATATTATATTAAAAATATAGCTTTTATATTGACTTTTAATTTTTTTTAAATACACGTGAGTAATCAAATGAAATATAAGATTTCAGTAAAATTATATCTTAAATTAATATCATAAAACTCAATTTAGCAGGGTATAATAAACTAAATAGGTTTTAATATTTTTTTTTTAGTAAAAACTAAAGTAATTACTAATAATAATAATATTATTATAACTATTAAATAAATTAAGTATATATTCTTATTAGTTGTTAGTTACCTCTCACATTCATAAACATTAAATGCTATTACCCAATATTAAAATTGTTCATTTGTTTTTAAAATCTCATGTAAATGGTAGATAATGACTTGGTAATGCATTCATATAAGTTAAATAATTTATGACTTACTAACTTTTAAGATGATAAAAATTAAGAATATTCATAGTATAAAAATTTAATATTATATATATAAGTGGTGGTTAACTTCGTGGGAGAAAAAATAAAATAAATATTATCTATCTATAAAATACGACATATTTTTTTTTTTTTTTTCTTAGTGAAAAACTATACATTGCATTAAAGAGAATACTGGCACAAAAATTAAAAAAATAATAATATTGGACAAAAGAAAAAAAAAACTATAAAAAATAAATGAAGTGTCGAGTAACAACTTAATTGTTACGGGCTATGTTTTATATAAACTATGAATTTTAAGGTCCTTTATGCAAGCATTAATCGAAACTCTGCTTTAGTGATAAATAAGAGAATTTGTGATATTAGTGTATTTTTTCTTTAAGACACGCATCTTTATTTTTATTTTTTTCAATGAGGTATCGATTTTATTTTTTCTTAGTAAAACAATTGTTACATTTTTGCTCAAATATTCTTTAATTATATTCCATATTTCAATTTTATTAAAATGATGTTTTGAATTACTCAAGGGAGTTTAGACTTTACCAAGTGTGAAATCCTATATTTTTAGTAACAAGTGAGTAGTTTAATTTTTTATTTATAAGAGTCTATTTGAGCAAGTTTAATTATTTTTTAGTTCGTATTGAGTTAGTATTTTTACATTTATTTATTTTCCTAATCTTTTATTTCTATTTGAGTTTTCAGTTTCACGAGACTTCTTACTTAATCTCCCTATCATTTTCTATTCTTTTTTCATTATTTAAAGTTCTTTAATTCATATGTTCTAACTTATTATGTTATTATCTCATTTTTTAATATTTATTTTCTTGTTAATAAGTTTCGTAATATGATTTATACACCATAAAATTATAGATAATATCGATTCTAATATCATGTTAGCTCTAAAATTATTTTGATAATTTTTGTTAGAGTCTTTATTCTAATAAAGTTATGTCTATTTATGATAATATTTATTAGAGATTGTCTGTCTTAATAGATGTTAGTTGGATACTCTACTATCAACATTTTATAACATATTTATCTATATGAACTCTTTCTTATGATTCAAATATGTTGGACATAGTTTTCTCCATTGAAAAAAAACATGAATTATGTTGACTTTATATGCATTTTTTTCATCATTTTATAAGTTTTTTATATATATATTTTCTTTGCATTTTTATTCCAATTAACGGTAATTTTAACTTAATTTTTTATTTAATTTATATACCTTTTGTTACTATTCTTTAAATTTTAAGATTTATAATAATTATTTATGTCGATGACACCACTTCTATTTTAATAGTTTGACATTTTAAAAAAATGTAATACTTTTCTTATTTTAAGTATTGATTTATTTATACACTATATGCTCGTTATAAATTTGACATTCTATTTATATCTATAAGTCTACTCAAACTTTAAAATAATTTTGTTATTTAGATTACAATTAGTTTTATTTTTGGTACTTCGAGTATTAAAATTTTATTTTAATTAAAAAAATAAAAAATAATCTATAATTTTGAAGTTTTAATAATTTAGGTGCCAATTTGAAAAAAAAATATAAAAAGCGGTACAAATATGAAATTATTGCAAAATAACAAAACGTAAACTAGTGAGGAAGAGAAGTTCTAGGTCTCCCATTATCCTCGACTGACCCTCTCACCTCCGTGCTCCGGTGCATTTACGTTTTTACTCCGGCGCCGGGAATGTGGATTACGGATCACCATTAACAACGTAAAAGCTCTACTGATACTGCCTTTTGGTTGTCTATTTGCCTCAACTCTTAACTGTTAGAACCGATCTGGAGTTAGCCTTCTCTTTCTCTTAAATGCTTTCCGGGACCAACCCCGGCCGGCGATCTCTTCGGTCAGTTTTTATTGTGTTGATTATGTTTAACATTGATGCCCCCAGTTTCATTTTTTTTTTCTGTACATGTACATAAATTTAGATTCATTTCTTTTTATCGTGTGCTGTGAACTATTAACAGGTTTAGGGTATCATTTCTAATAAAACAAACTGTTATGGGGTGTTATTGGGTATTCTTATTGAGGAAAGAATGCTGGGCAATTCCATGGAAGGATTCTAAATTCTGGAAATGGTTCACTGTGACAAGCAATATAGGTCCTACTGAGCTGTTTACCAACTTCTTGTCTCCATTATCCGAAGAGTAGTTGATGTTATTGGTGTTAGTGGTATTATCATATGAATTTTGGATTTTTTACTCAATGAGCCTTAGCTGAGTAGGTCCTGCTGAGCTGTTTTGTCTCCATTATCCATATAGTCGTTGATGTTTTTCGTGGTGGTATCATATGAATTTGGGATTTTTAACTCAATGATACTTAGATTAGTCTTCCTTATTCTCATTCTAGGCTCTCTTTTGCTTTTGTTCTATCTCTTGTTCAATGAATGAAATTGGTTCAAACCCGCGCCATTATGCTACTGACTGTATTTTGAAGTGTAGGGAATTTTATATAAACCGAAAATTGACTTATAACCTACAAATTTTTCAAAAAAATGAAGTGAAGTTTATTGTTGCTATTTATTTTATATTAGATATTAGATACGTTGGATCTTTTCCCTTGCTCATTAAAAAATGCAGATACTCATGAATTTTTATTTGTTTATTTTAGCATAAGAAGATATTTTTATATCTTTGTTTATAGAACTTAGCCTTTACTTCTTTATTGCATAATTTCACCTTGACAGTGCAGTATCACATTTATTTATCGTGAATGTGATTCTGTTTGTAGTTCTAACATGTGGGATCAACTAATGAGCATGAAATTGCTCTATGGTACGATGTAGCAGAATTATGGATATAGACATCTAGATAATCAGTGTGCCTAAGAATTTTTCTTGACAAACTTTTTCTGAGAGGTAATGAATTTGAAAATGCTTTATTCATATCAGGATAGCAGAATAACAGAGGCATAAGCATTTGACAGTTTGTGGTAATGATGACATTAGTAATATGTACTGTGTGGTGATGTCGGAAGCGAGTAGAGAATGCATCTTGACAATTGATAAACATAAAACTAGGGGGTTGGTCATTCCAAACTGGTGCTGTTTGTGTATGGCTAATGAGGAAAGCTGTGTGCATGCTCTGCTGCGGTGTCCTGTGGCTTCTGGGTTGTGGAATGCTATTTTTAGTATGATTGGTATTAACTGGGTGATGGCTGGATTTATTAGGGAGGAATTGTGGGCTTGGGAAGGGATGCATATTAAGAGGAAGTTGAAAAATCTAATTCCTTTATCTTTGTTTTGAATTCTATGGAAGGAGAGAAATTCTAGAGTTTTTGAGGGTAAAGCTAATGATTTGTATAGTTTGAGAAATAGGTGATTGCATTATTTTGGATTTTTATTATTAGGGCATGACATGATCGTCGATGTGCATTTTGGGCATGTCATTGATTCGCGAACAACATTGTAAAACTTTTGTATAGGGGCAGTACCCCCAATTGTTTGGTACCATGTTAATAGAATTTCACACTTTTTTATTTAAAAAAAAAAATAGGTTTCACTACTTACATTGTTGTTGCCAATAGAAAAGAGTTAGCATTCTACTGAGTCAAGGAAAATGCATTAGCATATTGCATCTTTTTTATCTACTTTCCCAAATGGGATTTTTTCTTTTGTGTTTATTTTTGCCATAGTATCATATCCCTCCCATTGTCGATCGCCTTGAATGCAACAGAAAATCTAGAAAAATACTCTCTGTAACCAACTCCTTTCTTCTGATGTCTAGGTTACAAGGAGCATATAGGTGCAGAAAAAGGTTTTATAAAATAATCATATAATCAACAGGATTTAGGCTTTCCAGCACTTTTAAAGTGAGGATCAAGGAATAAGAGTCTCAGAAAAGAAGGTTTGTAGTATGGTTGGGCTGCAAGGAAAAATGTCATAAAATGGATAAAGATAAGGGTAAGATGAGAAAAAAAAATATTAAAGATGGTTGGATTGTGATAAGTTAATCTAATTTAGGTAATTTTTTCATAAAGCAAGAGAACTGCTGGGCAATATAGGTGGAAAAGAGCCATGATTCTCTATGATTTTATGGAGTAAGGTTGTAGTAGATCTAGATGGTAAAGACAACTGTGTATAGCCAACAGTCAAGTAGTCTTATTTATTTATTGGTGAAATGAACAGGGATTAGGGCTACTTGTAGGACACCCCGATTACAGAATTGGGCTTATAACATTTTCTTAGGACTGTGAAGAACAAAATTGGGTGTATAACATTTTCTTACAACTGTAAAGAACAGAATTGGGCTTGTAACATTTTCTTCATCACTGAACTGATAAAGCAGCTAAAAGTTGCCCCTAATATAGCTTAATATATGTAAAAAATTTATAACTCTTTGTTTTAATAAATAAAGGCTTTCTTCTTCATTTTTTTTATCTTTGTTCCTTTTCTTTTAATGCTAAACTTGTTGCTAATATTTAGTCTGAACTTTTCATGTTCGTTTATGTGTGGATGGAGTTGAGAGGTAATTTTGTTGGATGAGTTGTTTTGTCTGTCCAAGAAGGATGGGTGAATGTGTATTGGGAATTTAGTGTTATAAAACCTGTTTCTATTGGCTGAGTGGCTTTGGTTATTTCCCTTGGAACCTTTTTCTTTGTGGCTTAGAGTGATGAAGAGCAAGTATGGGTTGCACCCGAATTGCTGGGACACCAAAGTTGGAAGCACAATGACCCATAAGAGTCTCTGGAAAGCCATATCTCAAATTTAGGGTTCTTTCATTGTTCTTCTTCATTTTAGAATAGAGGATGGTTTTTCTGTTCAATTCTAGCTGGACAGTTGGGAGGGTATTTTTGAGGACTTTTTCCTACCTCAGTTTTTTTATGAGAGAGGATGTTAATTATGGCATATCTTTGGGTTAATTCTTGTTTTTCTTTTTCAATATCGCCTCCATAGCTGCATGGAAAGTGATTAGATAACAATTTTGTAGTGCTTTTTTCTTGAAATAAACAATTTTGTATTACTTTTTTTGACTGTTTTCTTTCTCCATTTGTAGGAGGATAAAGAACATACAAACTTCATTCAAGAATTAACTCCCTTACCTGTATCTACTTTAGTTGTGCTTTTGGTTGCACAACATAAGGATTGTCTTTCCAGCTTGACTCTGAATATACGGAGGGAGTTCTTGTCTTTCTTCGAACATCATGGATCTTACATGGCTGAGTGCCATTATAGTTGGAGCAGGCTGTCTTGCATTGGGTTATTGTATTGGTACACGTCGGCGTTTTTATCTCTTTGTCTCAGCCAGAGCTTCCAAAGAAAATGCAGTTGTACATGGAAATAAGAAGAATAAGGCTAAAGAATCCCTTGAGATTGAAAAGTTAGCTGATATTCTAGAAGATTTTAAAATGGTACTTGAGCTCTATCCTCCTATCTCATTTTCTGTCGAAGTGTGAACAAAAAATTGAAGGGTTTTGTTTGTTCCTAACATCTGCAGGTTTTGGTTGTGAGGAACGATCTTAAAATGGGAAAAGGAAAAATTGCTGCCCAATGCAGGTGGCTTTCATTTCTTTTATGCTTTATCGATTTTCTTTTTCTTTGATAAGTTGGCTAGGACTGCTTCCTGATGTCGTAATGGTTTCTGGTTCCAATAGTGAATGCCTTTGTAAATTAGAAAAGAGCATCAACTGGATATCTAAATAGCACAAATTAAATTATTAATACTTACAGAGATGTATGAGTAAGGAGAATGGTTCTGCTGTGTAGATGATTCTAGAATGTGTGGCCTTTTCACCAAGTTTGGCTATGTTTGGCTATACAATGTCTTGGAAGACAGTACTTAAGAGCATCTTTGACACAAGCCAACATGCAATAGATAACAATTGGTGTGGAATAATTTAGAGAGTAGTAGATTAATAGGGAGGTAATAGAGAAAGATGTAGGAATGCAGGGGATAAAGAGGAACAATGAGGAGAGAGGGGAGGCTAAGAACAAAGGCAAAGAAAGCAGAAGGTATTGCTGAGAGAAGAGCAAAGATAGAATGGGTGCTGAAACCTTAGCAAATAATTTTAAAAGACATTGTTACCTAAGTTGGTATATTTTGCATAGCATTGTTTATAATTGAATAAAGAACTTGCAAACCAAAAGTTTCAAAATCCTAATCAGATTTAAAATCAACCTAAATCACAAAATAAGCCCAGATAAATTAAACAATAATCCCAAAAATATTTTCCACCGCTAAGGATCTTCAATTTTAAGGCATCCCTTGGTGCCTTGTTAATGCCATTCTCTAATGCTATTTTCATTTTTCTTCTTGAAAATACTCGATTTTGAGTGCTTCCCGTTTTGGATCGGTCTTATCCTTTTTAATATTTGGTAAAGAAAATGAGGTGAGTAGGGAACTGCCTTATTCTACCCATGTGAGTATTCCTTCTTCACCCATTGATAGGTGAATGAGAAACACCCACTTGGGTAAATATCTTAAAAACAACTAGTAAACTTCCATAATTATTTTTCCATGTTTTACCCTTAATAATAACAATATTTCCATAATACTCACTTGGGTACCTTTACTCTCTATTTGACATATACTCAAGTGAGTTTCCCCCTCAGCACATGCGAAACTCCTCAGCGATATGTCCTGGAAAAGCTTTTCCCCGACTCTCATGGCTGTTCAGAACCATGTTGAAGTCCCCTCCGATCACTCACGGATAGGCTGAAAAAAATTGTGTATTACTTACATATTTGTGAAATACCCACTTGAGGTAAAGTTACATTTAGTATTTAAAGATATAAGAACTATCCACTGGGATTAATGTCTTTACCCACTCTTTATTTCTACGAATTGAAATAAGCAACCGCTAATAGAAATAGTACAACCACTCATCAACATTTGATAAAATGATGAACTCTATTTGAAAGGTGAGGCGTATGATTCACATGCTGCAAATTGGCAGTGGATTGAACAACTTCAAGTGATGGGACTTAGGGTAGAGAAGTTGTCAAATGTCAGTGAAGAGAAGTTCTAGGTTGTTGGTTGATGAAAAATCTCCAAGCCTGTGAAATCAGTGCCTTTTTTCTCCTAAAATTATCCTAAAATTATGCACCTTTAGATGATGGCATTACCAATTATGTCACAGCTTTTTCCAGTCAAAGCCATGAACTTTAACCTTTGTATGCACCTTCAAATGATGTGGGCATTTCTAGGTTGTTGGTTGATGAAAAATCTCCAAGCCTGTGGAATCAGTGCCTTTTTTCTCCTAAAATTATCCTAAAATTATGCACCTTTAGATGATGGCATTACCAATTATGTCACAGCTTTTTCCAGTCAAAGCCATGAACTTTAACCTTTGTATGCACCTTCAAATGATGTGGGCATGACATCTGGTGACCAGAATGGTTGCCATTTTAATCCTAAGCAGAAACAGATTTTTTGGAGAGAAAATAAACAGGATAATTTTTTTTCCTTTTTCTAATGATGGATGGATGTGCCTGGACACCAGCCAGTGAAATTTCTAAAAATCAACTTGCTCTGTTATCATGTATTACAAAAGACTGAAATATTACTATGGTGTTGTTCTTGTCACCAAGCTGAAGAAATAGTAAACTGGTTACAGAGATGTTCTTGTCACCAAACTGAATAAATAATATATTGGTTACAGAGATACTTGTGACAAGTATGGGATATATACGAAGAGATTAGGTAGAAGAAAGTCTATTATTATCTAATGCTATTTTATTTCCTTTTTACCAGTTTACAGCAGAATTATGCCAAAACATTTGCTGATGGTAGATAAGTCAAGTGGTTGGTTATTTTCTTTCTGGCTGATATTGAAATTTGTTTTTCTAGTAACCAAGTAATGATTGTAATTCCTTCTAGATGAGTTTTTAAAAGTCTTCCACCCCCCTCAGATGGTACTTTATCAAGCCTCTAGGTCCCTCTCATGAAATTGTTCTCGCGGGACAAAATTATCCTTTAGCTTTTCAAAATGAGGTGCAGCTATCTGATGAATTACTTAAAAAACTAATACCTTTGTACCATCACACATCATGAATCTTGCTTTTCTTCCTATACTAAACGATACATGTTTCTTTTTTATTAGGGCATTGAAATACATGTTATCCTAATTTACTTTCCAAATCTTGTTTTCACTGGCCAGTCATGCTACTTTGGGTCTCTATAAGAAGGTCCTTCACAGAGCACCAAAAGCCTTGAACAGGTATATGACTATTTACTGGATTACTCTAGACGACGGGGGAGGTTGTATGTACACATATGTCTTCTGTTTGCTTCCTAACTGCTCCCCCCCCCCCACCTATGAATACAGATGGGAGAATTGTGCTCAGCCGAAGGTGGTTCTGAAAATTGAAAGCGAGGAAGAGATGCTACTTTTGCAGGTCAGTATGCTTTAAGAATGATCATGCTGTCACAGTATTTACCTTCATTCTTTATTTTTGAATGAATATCTTTACCCGCCTTTTATGGTAAGTTTGGTGCATACGCAAAATTGACAGAATGAAGTTAGTTGTCATTAATGAAGTCAGTTGCAAATCTATTATGCTCATCATCACTTGTTAATTTAAACTTTTCTTCGGAGTGTACAAAACTTCCATGGTTAACATTTGTTTGATCTCCTTTGATGTTCTTCCTATGGATTTTGATTCCCAATCCTCAAGTAACAGTTAACAAAGATCTTCACAACTTTGACAGGAGAGAGCAAAATCACTCAAGTTACCAACTCATATTACAATTGATGCGGGAAGAACGCAGATTGCACCAAGTAAGTTAAAAAGTTACCTAGAGGATGACATATTTTCATGGAATTGATGGGACTAGGATTTCAGTTTTTCCTGGTAATGTGCTTGTGACATTCAGCCTTCATGGATGTTTGAGAACATATCAGTTCTTGAGTATGATTTCATTGAAGATAAGACTGATCATTTTCATTAAAAGAAATAAAACAACCATTGTTGAAACTGTTAATTGGTACCCATTAGCCAAAGTAGGATTGCAAGGAATAAATAGCTATGACAAAATATAACAAGGCATTGCTTAAGTAATAAAATGAAGCTGAAGTCTCTCTTTATGTTCTCTGCTTCTATGCATTATTTCTCCCAAGCTTCTTTTTTGATATCAGGAAGAATTTATGTTCAATCTTCAAATGAGCAAATAGTGAGTGAACATCAGCTGTTAATTGATGAGTGCCGGAGGAACTATGTTTGTTGAAAGAAGCATTATATGAATATTACACTGCGCTAAGAAAGTCTCCCAGAATATTTTACAAACAATTGTGCAATCTTTCAAATCTTATAATACAAACATGATTTTGAAATTTCTTTTGCTTCACGAACTTCATAACCATTACTTTCGTACATGAACATGCTTTTAAGCTGTTCTTATCCTAAATTTCTTCCTTTTTGCTTTAGATTCAAGGACGGTGATGGCTATTCTTGGTAAGTTAATCTCTTTGCTATCTTTTTGTTTTTCTTTTTTTTTTTTTATTTCCTTGTATCGAGTACTTCACGTGTGCAGGACCTGTTGAAGTGGTTGACGATGTAACTGGTGAACTGAAGCTTTGTAGCCACTTCTCAAATTAAACTCACTATTGGCAGATTGGAGATTATGTCTGTTGAAGGGAATTTTGGCGTTCACCAAACATTCATGTTTAATCCTCACGTTTTCTTCAATTGCCACTTTTTATGATGGCGAAAATTCATTTATGGGACCATTGACTTTATGACAGTGGAACTATAGAATGTAACTTTGACAATACGATGACGTTTTCTTTTTGGTATTTGCAAATGGTTTCTTGGAGGTTTATAAATCAGATTCCATTCAGGGAGAAACTTGAATGTAGAATGATGTTTTACAGTATTATAAATGCAGACCCTTTATTTATTTATTTATTTGCTTTTCGTCAAAGAGTCATACATCATTGGGAAAAAGAATTTGCTGCAACAAACTAATAAAACGAATTTTATCTAGCTTTTCATAATACCAAGATAATAAATATATGTATATATATATATATATAATATAATATAATCTACTCTTTTTCACCTGTAACTACTGTCAAATTCTTAAAGGACTTACAAGTCTTGTTACCCTACAGTTTGCTGGTCCTCTTGGCAGCTCTTAGTTTTGGCCTTTCACTTTCCAACCCTAAATTCTTCTCTTCTATCTTTTCAACTGCTGAATTTTTCGTTTCTTCAGGATGCAGATTGTTCTGTTTCAATTCCTGAGTCCATGAATACAATATTCTTGGAAGTTCAAGTTATTAAAAATTAGGTAAACATACCAAGATGACTTGTTGAATTTGCGAATATAGTCGTTCTACTCGCAAGCATGTGTATATTCCTTGTTGAATCTCAAAGCTTTTGGCAACTTGTAAAACTACCCAAATGTCCTCTCTCAGAGACACAATAAGTTTTCCTAAACATGAACAGTCAAGAGACTTGACCTCTGCATTATCATTAAATTGTGCAAAAAAGAAAGGTAAAAAGACATGGGAGATGAAATATAATCGTGTTAACTTAACTAGACCAATACACAAAGAAAAAGGGAAGGGAGTTGAAACCGTGAAAAAGGCACGAGTGAAGATAGCAGCAGTTGCACTCGAGGAATCCCAAGTAACAGTCTCGTTTGCAGAAGGAACAGTGAATTGTTCCTTGGGAAACCGATGAATAACTAAACAAAGCACCCAAATCATTTAACTTCCGAAGAGCTTTGTTAAATGAGCATATGTAATGCAAAAATGAAACTTTAATTGGGCATTCTGAAAAATGTTCTGCTTCTGAACTTTCATTCCTCCAAGATTTGAAAAGAAGGATTGCTTCTTTACATATAAGTTCTTCAAATGGAAAAATCACCATCTTGCCAACAAGTGCATAGTTTTCGCGGGCAATTGCGCCCCATGGAAACCAGTCACCAATTGCAAGATTTACTGCTTCCCCACAATTGAAACCTGTAATCATCCAAGAGCAGCAATAGTCAATTGTATAATAAAGCAAGACATAATACAGAACAATGAAGAGTAAGTAGTTTACCGAGACTAAATCCTGCATGGTAAGCTTTCGGAAATGTGATCACAAACTCGCCTGGCATCTGCACAGTCCTATAGACAGTTATGTTATGTTCGAGCAAGATTCTTGGGGGAAACATTGTTGTTTTTTCTGCAAGTGATTCCGAAACTCCATCCACTTTTTTACTCGATGCAGAGACGTGTTCCTGAACTACTTTTTCAAAATCAAAAGCTGTCTCACCAGGAACACCATACCAAATTTTGGCTGCACCTGAATGATGGTAGTTGATGCTGATGAGATTCAAACAAGCATCAATTATCAGGATCAGATTACACCAAAAAGGAACTTGAGAAAACCAAACTGAATCAAATTTGATCTACCTATATAAATAGTGATCTTCGACGTGCCATGCAAATATACTGAACAGCATTCCAATGTAAAGCATGGGATCAGTTATACCCTAAATTTGAAATGAGATTTCAACATAGAAAGTCAATGAAAATTATGCAACATTTCGGAAGACAACTCTCATTTGGGGGAATATAGAGTTATCTACCGGTATTTGATACTGGAGCAACCGAAATGTTGAATTGGGTAAATGTGACAAAGACTGTAATCACAAGAAAAAGGAGTCCGCATGAGTGAATTGAACAAAAATATAGATAGACTGAGAGAAGGTGGAATAAGAACCTTCAAGTTCCATTTACTGTTTCCCAGTTGATCATTGGGATCAGATGAAAAGCCACTGCCTTCTATATTCACACCATACTCCACTGTTTCTTTTCTTCCATGAGCCATTTCATGCCAAAATTTCTTCTCCAAAGTTGCTGGAGAAAGGCATCTAAGACTGGGAAATCTTTGAATAAAAGCCTTGTTTGCCATACTCTCAAAACTTTGGTACGTATAGTTACTAGAAAAAGAAAACATTTGTCAAATATTAATCAAACATGTGTACATCATATATTCAAATATTTAAACACTTATTTCATGCATTCATGAAATTTTACTTTTCTCCTTTGGAGAAGGGTATCTTATGTCCTTCAACCAGCGGAAGACGCTGCACATAAGTCTTGAACTTGAAACCTCTTCTCTCCTTCATTAATACATCCGAGGCTGAAACAGAAGCCTTCAATGGAGATACAATCTTGCAGATTCCTGGAATTTCAACTTACTTCAATCTCCCAAACAGAAATTAATGCAAACCCTATTCATTTGGAAGTAAGTTTACCATATTTGGAGGCTTGGCGTGCAATTTTTTGTAGAAAAGTTAAGGGATCATGAAACTCCTCTACTGATGGACGGTACACAGGACATTCAGAAATCTTTTCTGTCCATTCAAGATCACTGGTCATATCAAAGTTATCCACTTTCTGATGTTGCTTTAAACACTTTGTCTGCATATTCTTCCTGGTCCATGTAGAAGGATTCCCTGGTTTTTCTCCTACTGTTCTTTTCTTAGTATTGGCATTCTCAGAAACAGTCCTGAATCCCATCCTTCCTTCCACTTACCCTACCAACCAATCAAAACCAAGTAGAACTCCAATGGATTTGGACTAGATAAATAAAAAATCATACCCAAACAAACAAGTGAAAGATTTGAGATCAGAGATGCACAAAATCAGGTTTTTTTTAAACCAAATTTACTTTGACTTTTGGCACTGGAAAGTCAAACTGAAAAAAAGCAAAAAAACCAAACTGAATTACTTACGTTAAAGTAGTGAAAAACAATTAAGAACTTGAGTTTGTTTTATAATTTTCTGTCTTTCCAAGGCTGACCCAGAAAAGCATTGAGTTTTTCAGTGCTTTCTTAGGCCCTTTGCTTTTGTTTTCTCGGCAGCCAAACAAGACTCAGAAGAAATAATATAACACCTTAAAATGACACAGATTTTCCTAAAAGATACAGGAATGGAGAAACGACAAGAAGAAGATCAGAGCACGAGGAATGGAGGAGAAAAGAAGACGGTTTCTAAAACCAAACGCCATCTTTCTTTTATAGGTTCCCTCGTTAATTGTCTGTAGTGAATACTGGGAAGGAGAAATGATTCCGTACGTCCCTTCTTATCGTATGAGTAACTTTTTATGTTTGACGATCTGATCTATATCCTTTTTCGAGTGACGTGGACGAATCAAGATGAGGAGTCCATGGAACGGTGTGGTCAAGCGATGTGTCTGATGAATCGACCGTTGTTTGTCGTTTTATTTTTAAATTTTTGAAAACATTAATTATTGAAAATAAAAATTATGTTTAATAATAATAATAATAATACTAAAAATGTGACATGATTTTCAAACTCGAGCCGGATTTTCACAAATATTTTTTAAAATTTAATTTTGTTTCCAACAATTACGTTTTGGTGTATAAAACATATATAAATATGAATAACTACAAACTTAAATACTTTCTTTTAATCTATTTTCGAAATTAATATAAATTTAAAAAGCTAAACATATTGTCCAATTTTTTTTTTTAAAAGGTCAATATATTCATTCCTCCCAAGAACAATTATGCTTTTTTTTTTATAAAAAAAAAACAGTTTTTTATATTTTTTTTAAAGAATTCATTTAAAATAAATTTTAATTTTTTAATAATTATTTTTTAATAATAACCCTATAATTTAGTTAAAATTCAATTCGTTTAAATATTATTAAAAAAACTATTATTTTTTTTAAAAGAATTCGAACTCAATCATCAATTTCATTATAAAAATATCATTTCATTCAAAATATATGTTTTTACTATTTTTAAGTTTACGTTTATTTCAATTAAAAATTAACCTCATAAGTCATAAGAAATTTGAACATCAAAATTAACAAAATTTGGAATAATTGTTCTAATTTCACATACAATTTGATGTAGAATTACATCTATCATTTATCACTATCATTTTCTAATTCATGTTGCCCTTCTAGTTGAGCCGAGTATACATAATACATTTGCAGACGA